ATTATTTAAGACCTTGTATGTGAGGAGCAGGATTTTGAATTTAATTCTGGATTTAACAGGAAGCCAATGAAGGAGAAATCTGCTCTCTCTTTCTAGTCCCTGTCAGGACTCTTGCTGCAGCATTTTGGATTAACTGAAGGCTTTTCAGGGAGTTTTTAGGACAATAAGGCCACAGTAAGGACAGTAAGGAATAATATCCACATGTGGCCTTATTACTTACTAAACTGAATAAAATAATTAAATGATGAGACGGTCGACAGGTACTGAGTTTTACTCTCGCTTCTGCTAGATCTGATGAAGAGCAGTAGCATTACACTAAACCATCTAACTAGGGCGGAGGTGCCCCCTTGTGGCGCAACGTGGGATCTCAGAACATGTTGGCTCTCCAACAAAAATCACAAAATTAAGGCCCTTGTGTAACAAAGCTACACCTGAAAACAATGTACAAAAATTAAATCACATAATATGACCACACATTATAGTGTTCCATGTGCAAATATATGTCATGGAAGAATGAAGTTATGTTGTGAAAGATCAGATAGATTTCACAAGTATAACCAGTTTAGTTATGCTGTGACAAAGTCAGTGGAACACAAAACCAGTTCGTCATAACTGATCACATTTCTTCTGAAAGTCAAGCAGCCCACAGCAATGGGGGAAAAATGTTTAATAAATTGATCATTATCAAGCTGTGGGTATTAATCTGCTTATATTTACCATTCGATGGGAGAGAGCAGCTCAGTGTGGTTTGTGGCAAAAACCTCTGAGGACACAAATACTGTGCTGCTTATGAACTAAAGGGTAAAACTTTTACTACAGATGTATTTGCTAACTTTTGTCAGGGTGGCCTATATAAAGAAATGTCTCTATATCTGAGCATTTATAACAGTTTCCTGTAACAGTTGTCTCTGCAAAGAACGATGAGCGTGTGAGGTTGCAGAGATTGCGTCACAAAAGCTCAGTTGCTGCTTACATTTTGGGAACTATTTTTTTTTTCAACATGTTGGTACTGGTATAAACAAAATGTAGCCACTTCCCCAGAGACATCTTCTGTCAAGTAGCCTCAAAGAAACACTGCTACGAGGGCCTGGAAATGCCATAAAAAAACCCGAACATTAAGAAAACAAACTCAATAATATTAATGGTTAAAAAAATGTGATTGTGAATGAAATTTGTAAAGTAATTAATTAAAGAAATGTTGTGTACATTAATATATCTGTCTGAGAGTGATTTTGTCATGTTTGTCTTTGTAATTTGTTTGTTTAATGAATTTGTTGATTTTCCCATTTCAGTTCAACCCATATTCTGTTACATTTCTAACATTATATTATGCAAATGAGGCGACTGCTACTCAAAGTGTGGTATTAAGTGAACTTTGTGGCTACATCTAGTTAAGAGACCATTAGAGAAGTGAGGCTACAGCCTCTTGGCCTTTCTTACATAT